ATGCCGGTAGGGAAAAGCCTATTAAAGCAAAGATCATGCCTTTTATCTGCGCTGGAGAGAAAACTGGGGCTGTGAGCCCTTGCCCATGGGCCACTCAGAAGAAACGTGTAGCTTGTAAAACATTGCTGCAGGCCATGTTGACACGGACAGCAAGGAATGAGGTTGCTTGCACCACTCTGCCTGCTTGGTATTTTGCCTATGGGACAGCAAAAGCTGGAACCCAGTAAACTAGAGAATAAACCCCGGTCTACATAGTCTGTACTAGGTCTGGTTTCTTCTGTTTGGGTGGGATTCTCTGCACCACTGGAGCTACATCTGCAGCAAACTGGAGCGTAGACACTGCAGAGATACAGGGAAAGCGCAGCGTATGCCCACAAGCTATAATACACATAAAGAGCTCCATGCGAGCTTACAGCTTGATCCTAAAAAGATTTGCTGGCAAGGTGGATCGTATCTGCCGTGTGCAGAAACCACTGCGACACAGCACAGTCACAAGAAGCAACAGTCCTAACAGAGCTGCAATATATACCAGTAGAAAGGGGTTGTGCTGACATGCACTTACTTCCTTGAGGAACTGATATAGACCCTTTTAGAAGTACGAGTCTGGAGGGATCAGTTGCATCTCCACCACTTTTGGTAGTAATGCTGCAATTACCTGTGCAGCTGTTTGACATGGTGATGCGACTCGAGGATGTCAAGGTAACAGAGCAGATCTCCAGCACTGCGGAAAGGCAGAGTTCTACTTAATTCCACATCTTCTAAAAACTCTTCCTGAGCTACTAGCAGTCTTTTCTAGCCCACCTGCCAAAATTCCAACAGCAGCCACTCTTCATGTTCCCTCCAGCCCTACAACTGTGTGTGCTTGCCAAACCTGCGTGCAACCCAGGCTGAGCAACCAAGGGAATAACACACCCGTGAAGGAAATCTCCACTTCCGCGGAATACTCCCGTGGCAAACGGAGCTTCACAAACCACAGCATGCAGAGCAAGCCACCCCAGCCCCAGGGCTATTTTAGCAACTATACCTGTTTCTGCAGGAGGACATCTGCCAGCAGAGCTCTGGCTACCTCCTCACCCTCGTAGCAGAAACATGGACGAGAAACTTGCCCAAGCAAGACAGGTAATCCGTAGCAAGCACCCTCTGCAATCATTCTGCAAAGACCTGCACACCTTGCGTAATTCTTTCCTTGCTTCGGCAGGAGGGTTGGACTAGATGACCCACAGAGGTCCCTTCCAACCCCGAAACTTATTTTAAAGCTGAAAGGCAAGGCTTCAGTATCTGTAACTTTTCTAGGTATATGGTTCAGCTTTGTTTTTTTCAGGGGAACTGTTGAAACGAACACTACTACTACAACATTGCCCAGAATTCATCCAAACTGATGTTGGGACTTGATTCTCAGGTAGGATGAGAAAGACACAGATCTGTTGTGTAATATAGGAAATCATGTGAACCTGGCATTTCCCCCTCTTCCAGGCCAGATTTACCTTTTCCTACTGTTGAAGGTTGGCAGCCCGCACATGGATGACAGTCTTTCTTCCTCCTCTACAGGCTCAAACTTCACCCCCTTCCTGCACATATTCCACCTCACACCTGGAAGCAGAGCGTTACAGTATTGCAGAAGGAAAGTGGACATGCTCTGGCACCCACACAAGCAGGTTCTGCTCACTGAAGGACCCGCGGCAGTTTGAACCTGAGCAGTCAGCTGCCAATTTAGCTAATTATTCTCGGTGGGAGTACCCATTGAGCTGCCCCTCTCAGACAGATTAAAAGCTTTGGTGGTGTACTGTAATTTAAAGAACCTGGGATTAAGCCCAAACACATCATTTTTGCTACTTTAAGCTGTGGCTATTCACACGAGCTTGGTTCTGCTGGTACAGCAGTAGCACCAGCCATTGCACACAGGCAGCTGTCTGTGAACACTTGCAGCCCTCATCTGCATGCAAGGTTGCACCAGTGTTCAGACTAAGAGATATTTGAGGGCAGCAAGGCTCTGATAAACCAAAGCTCGCTGAGCAGAAAGGTTCATTGAGTCTCTAACATCGGCGGCTGCAGATGCACTGCTTCAGTCCCAATATGCCAGTCTCTCGCACTTCAATACCTGTTGAATGTTGCTCCCAGGCGTTAAAAAGAGATAAATGCAGTCTTGGGGCAAAGCAAGGAAAGCAGCAAGTTGTTGTTTCAACGCTGGGGGCAGGATTCAGCTACTTACAAAATTCTGCTGCATTCCGAGGTTAGCGCAGGAACCCCAAGGGAGCTGCAGTCTCACCGAGGCAGGACTCGCAGACCTCTGACTGTGAGGTTCTGGGGCGGCAGCAGGTGGCCACACAACCTCAAGAGACACTTTCTTTTGCTCCTACCCTCGTACTTACACAGTTATTTTGAAGCGTTCCAGTTTGAGGACTAATACAAGCATGTTACAGGGCTGCACGTTACTGCAAGGCAGCAGCCAGCATCCAGCTGCCAACCCCTGGATCTGCCCCCCCGCTTTGCACTAAGCAACACGCCCACATGTTAAAAACAAGGCTGATGGACTTCTGTGACCTACTCCTTTTAAAGAGTTGCTTGATCCTACTTCTGAAAGAAACACAGTAGGGTTACTTCCCCCCCACCACCACCTTGTCCTCGGTACTACTGGTCTAACCTGTGCAGAAGCCACCATGCTCATAGCAGGCTGTTCCAATGCAAGCTGACGACGCTGTTTCAACGTTAAAATAAAGTAATTTATTTTCAATTCAAACAAGTTTGCAAGAACATTAAGCAAAAACAAAGTAATAAAAGACAACATGCACTTAACATAAAACATGCTTAAAATCACTGCAAGAGTATTTTCTTGTTTAAGAAAAACGATTCTGCAACAACAGTTTGCCTCCTTTGCAGTGAAAGTTTAACTACACATACAACCCTCGTGCAGACATTTGAAGACAGGGTTGCAGTAAAAACTGTGCACTAATGAAAAACTCTACTGCAGAAACATTTATGCTTTCACCATCTCACTCACTCTTGCCAGCTCATGCCATTTTATGTTCTTAGGCAGTGGCAGACTGGACTCTGCTGTTCCACATCTTGTAAAAAAAGTCAGTTTCACACAGATTGGAGTCGACTTCCAGTTCCTCCATACCAGAAGGGATGACTCAGTTACTTTAAAAAAAGAAACTGAAAATTTTAATTGGCATTTTCCTCCTGTTGTCTAACTAGGTTTCTCTAAACTTCTCGCCTCCCCCTGAGCTTGGGTACTTAAGTCAGATGAGGCAACCAGTGCCCTCTTCAGCAGAATAATACAAGAAGAGATCCAACCAAGCTCTGGGGAAGGGATGAAAATCCTACTAGCTTACATTCTTAAAACTGGGATTAGACAAGAGAGCAGGGAACCATCCTGTTCTAGCCCCTTGGGTAACACCTCCACTGGGAGCCATCAGGATTCCACACCCCTCCCAACATCCAGATTCCAGGATAAGTGACATTAAACATCACCTTTAAAATAACCAACTCCTTTACCTAGCTGCCCACTCCTACCCTAGAGAAAGCTGCACTGTAGTGGTGCTGTGTTTGCGAAGTGCTAGGGGACCATCATGCACAGATAAGCAGACTGTTCTCACCTCTCCCAAGAGGACTACACACAGCCGCTCCTCACGCTTCCAGCAATGGTACCTTGGGCTACCCTCTGCTGCAAATTGCAGGTTGGGACAAGCCACCGGTCTCTCAGCAGAGAGATGTAGAAAGGCAAGATCTCAACTGGGTGGGGACAGTCCCAGAGACACCATCCTGAATGAGCCGACAGGCACAAGTAAGTTAGCAGCTTTGGAAACCATGAAATTTCCATGTGATATACTGGCAATACTCTACCCCACTTTCTCTCCCCTCTGCTCCTCCCCTTCTCTCAACTGCCCTGTGTACACAGGAGGGCAGCAGGCAAGGGTTAGGCAGGTGCTGACCCCTCCAGGAGGAGCTGCTGAAAGTAACTGGGTCAAGCCACCTGAAATCAGATGATCTCACATAGCTTTTCGGTGAGAGAGAGGAGGATGCAGATCAAGAACCTATTAGCAGTTAGCTGACTGAGGTAGGAACAGAAATAGGCAAGGCGGCAGGAAAAGATTCTGGGCTACAGCAGGGTATTTCTAGCAGAAATATGCTGAAGTGCAGGGATTTTCTTCTCCAGCAAAGCTCTGCTGCAAGACACACAGGGCAAGGATTAGAGATAACCTGCTAAAAAGGCAGCAGAGGAGGGCAAGACTTGGAGAGCAAACAAGGACCTTTACCACCTCTGCTGCCCCTGGCTGTGGCATTGCACATTTCCCTCCATGAACAAAAGCTGAATATACCCACACACAAAACACCCTTGCCAAGGTGTGAACAGACAGGTGCCTTTGAACAGAAAACTAGCCCAAGGCAGCAGGGTTCTGAGCCCCACCAACGGGTGAAACAGGAGTCGGGGAGGAGGGGCAAGAGAAAGAAGTAGAAACTGGATCCTTGAGTCAAGACCCTAAAAACCCCATGAAAGTAAACAGGAGAAGGGAGAAAAAAAATTTCTTAGACTTGAGACTCATAACCACTCTGGGTCCCCAGGGGATGCCAAGGGGCCTGGTACTGATGCCGTACAGGAGAGCTCGAGAATTGTATGATGCTGTCAGAGGTGCTCTCGAAGCTGTAGGTGTCTTCTGGTTCCAGGCTGACGTAATCCATATCAGCAGGGTAGCCATGATAGAAGTTCATCTGCTGGCTCAGTAAACCCATGGCTTGCTGGGTATTGCAGCTTGTCCCACCTTTCCCAAAGAGCCCCTCATCCTCCACAGCCACGAACGAGTACAGGCTCTGCCCATTCCCGTAAGTCTGGCCACTGCCGTAAGCCTGGTGCACGTTGGTCACAGCCTGAAGGTTTCTGCTGGCACTGACGGGGAAGCCCTGGTGAAATGTGGGGGTTATATCCAGGTAGGCAGCCTGATGGAACCCGTTCTAGGAGAGACAGAGAAGGGTGTTGAGTAATGCAGAGCACCACACCACGGAGGCCACTCTGGATGGGTCCTCCTTCCTCCTCCAGCCAAACAAAAGTGTCTTTTTTTGTACTCATTGTCCTCGCTACAGACTAATAATAGCAGAGATGACAAGCTCTTAAGTGGGTAATCTCCAACTCTAGGTGCCCGGGAACACTGTGCTGAGGAGAAACACCGTGCTGAGGAGAAAGCCAGCCTGAGCAGCCTTGCCGGCCCTCTTCAGCTATTTTGTTTTCTAGAGATAAGCATTTTCAGGAGATAAGTGGACTGGAAACAAAGCTCTTTCAGTTGCCTGGGCAGGCTTAAAATAGATGCCACTGTTAGCCCCGTTACAAGAAACACAGCTGGCTTGGCAATACCTTGTTCGGGCTGGCAGATTGGACACGACACACTTCTCCCCAGACTGGTGGTGATGGGGGAAGGGGGAATTGTCTCACCTGTGGTAGATACACCCCTTTTCCCACCCACTGGCTCTCCTTCTGGCAACGCTTGAATTTCATCCGTTGGTTCTGAAACCATGTTTTCACCTAGAAGCAATGGGAAAAGGACATAGGACATTAGAAATTAATTCTCGGAGCTTACTACACATCCTAAAGATGTTTTTCCTTCTACCACAATCCAGTTTCTGCTTGGCTCCTAATACTTTACATAATTTCAGCAGCTAACAATGCGCAGCAGACCCAGGTAGCCGCACAATCAGAGCTGAGATGTGAAAACTTCGCACTGCTACTCCTCAGATCACCGTGGCATCCAAACCCCACCTGAAAGGCAGGCCGAGACAGCATCTCGCTGCTGCGCCAAGCTCCGTGTTGACTCAGGACTGAGTCATTCCTTCAGTCCATGCGAGCAGCTGGTGGGGCACGGACCCTGTCCCTGGGGAGAGACCCAGGTGCCACTCCAAGCGAGGCAACGTGCAGACAGCAGTGCAAGCATCTGACTTTTCACATGCAGAGGCAATGCCATGTCCACGCAGAACGGTGGCCTGACTCCGCACGGCCCTGCTCCGTGCGCACTTTCAGACACCTGCGGAGTGGGTGGATAGTGCTTGGGACCAAACAGAAGTGCAAGACTGAGTCATAACTTTTCACACCCTCTGCTCTCTCATGTAACCAACCTTATAAACAAGACCATGAAAAAAACCCCCGCATCTCTGATGTCTAAGACAAAAAAAAACCAAAACCCAACAAAAAACACCCAAAAAACCACCCCTGCTTCGCAAGATCACCGCACACCAGGGATGCGCCTCAGCTGTCCAGAGCAAGATGTTCACCTGCTTGTAGGTGAGCCCCAGGGCAGCAGCCAGCTCCCGGATCTGCTGGGGGCTGAGGTACTTCTGGCTCTGGAACCGGTGGTGCAGGATTTGCAGCTGCTCCTGGGAGAAGGCCGTGCGGCTCTTGGCCTTCTTCACCGCACCCTCACCTTCCTCCTTGACCTTCTGGAAGGAAGGATGGGGAGACGGGCGCTCTGCGGTGGGGCTAGTGGCAGAGTCGGGGGTGTACTGGATGAGTGTCCCACAACTGGAGGAAGCTGGAGAGACATCTGAGGAGAAAAAGAGAGAAACAGGG